TTGGAAAATGAGGTGGAGTGAGGGGGGTGAGCAGTGAGAAAGGAAGAGAGAGTTAGTGAGAGACGGATGTGAAGAGAGTGAGGAAGTGAGAGTAGCAAGAGGCAACAAAGGAAGAGTACAGTAAAATGGTAAAATTACACAATGGCTTAAAAAAAATGGAGAACAGACTTATTGTTTTTATATTTTACTACACTGACTAATATTTGCCAGAGCAGGGAGGCAGGCTACTTTTCCTGTGCCATCTTATGTGAAACTGTCAGACTTCCTTTCTTTTCAAAACCCAGGGCTTTTGTTACACAACAGATTTCAAATTTGAAACTGTGCTCCGTGTCAAGAATTATTTGCAGCATTTGTTGTTTTGTTTTGTTTTGCAAATATCATTCATAAAAATTACATGTTTACAATCAAATATATCTAAAATAAACCTGCAAATCTCAGTTAAAATCATAAATCAGTGTCCAAACAGCTTTATATTTTTTGCTTGTCAGTTTAAAATTACACATAAAAATGTTGACGTTTTATCGAATGGAGCAGCTAGTCACTTTTGGTATGTGTCAGGATCCAACACTGAATGCTCTTATTTTCTACATCCCTCCCATGGGCACGTCATACTTTCTGCTCCCACACATTAGCCTAAAAAAGCTTTGATCTGAATGGAAAAACTAGGCTTACTGTATATCAGTTCCCACTGTAGTTACTGCTATATGATTCCCCAGTGACAGATCAGGTCAGCTCAGTTCACGCAGTCTCTCCATGGTTGCTACGGGCAATTTATTTATTTAAGACTGTTGTCCATGCTGCTCTATGTCTTCTACTGCTATATCACATAATATAATTTTTACTGGTGTCCATTAAACAACGCATTACTGCGATTAGTTATAAATCAGGATCTATTTTAATGGAATGTAGTTTACAATGAACACCATATGCTATTTTTAGACACATACTCTTTCTTAGCATGTGTTCAAACACAAACACATGCAGCGAAAGCGATGTTTGTTGGTAGAAGTAAAAGGATGTGGGAAATCACTGTCATCATGGCCCAGCCTTTACTTTCCTTCATTTGCCTTTTAAGACCAGGTTCTAGACTGACACAGCAAAGTCCGTGCAGTAAATCACAAATACACACAGGCTCCAAAGGCAGTTTGGGTGACGAAAGAGCAGCAAAGGGCCATGAACTGCAACCTGCTTTTTGTTTATTCGTGCCTTTTGCTCAAACCCCCCCACTGGAAAGTATTGGCTAATGCGTACGTATTTGTGTAGGTGACTTAATACACTTCTCTTTTCTGCATGTGTACATACTTTGTGTCTTAATCACTGTGCAGAGTTGGCTTGTTTGTCAGTACATACAAACCCTGTTGCCCGTGTGAGTGTGTGCATCAGAGAACGATCGACTGTGTGCACGTCTGCTGTGCTCTAGCCCAGTATGCATTCCTAATGAGGCTTGACTCTGTGCTACATGGCTCAAAGCCACACATGATGTCTCAGCAGTGGGAGGAGCATATGAAATGGCTCGCAAGTAGGGGTGGGGGGTTATAAATCTTTAATCCAAACACCACCCTGTGGTCATTTTACATTACCAGCAGTTGAGTCATGTCGTAACAGACCAGAGCAGAAATTTGTAGCATGTGACATTTTGTTGTTGTTGTTGTACTGTTGTTGTTTACTGAACTTTTAAACCTTAAAAATGAGAATAAAAGAAGTGATAAGATTTTTTTTAAAAAAATATAGCTACTCTACATTGCAGTTGTGTTAATTTTGACAGGATATTTTGTTTTAGTCTTAGCCATAATTTTGGCATCTAAATTCTTTTATTTTTAATCTAGCTTAAGTTGATTAAATATTATAACATTATAGTAGACTCAATATGAGATTTATTCAGTTGACCCAAAATAAAAAGTGTAAAAGTTGGTCATGAGGGTTGCTCCATACGGTTTTCAAAGCATCTTCTTTTCAGTGATATCAAATACAAAATGTGTCCATATGTCTACTGCCCTCTTCTTCCCAAGCGGTTGATATTTTGTCACATTTTCATGACAAACAGGGAACATGAAAGCTAGCTATATTATTTGCCAGTGCAAGAGACTTCTTCAGTTTTAATAAGATCAACTACAATTGTGAGCTAGATGGCTAAAAATCTAAACAGACACATTGCCTCCACTTCAGCTGCAGAGGATGAGATGCCTGCATTTGCCAGTCTTTCTAAACTTCTGTGTTTACATTTGTTCAAATCGGATGATTGGTCTCAGGTGGTCTCCCACTTCACTGGCCACTTTTTTGAGGTATCCTAGAAGTCCAGATATTTACAGATCAAGCTCTGCCCCATAATAAGTGTCCACAGTTTCGTCAGTTGCTCCTTTAAGTAGACGAGTAATGAGAGCACCAGAAAGATGAGCACATAGCAGGAGCATGTGCCAACATTCACAGAGATCCAGTGTGGCAAATAAAGTTTAAACACATTGAAAGTTGATTTGATTTCCATCAGTCTATACTCTTCCGTTTATCCTTAGAAGCAACGACCATAGGATGAGAGGCAGGGTACACCCTGGACAGGTTGCTAGTCTGCTTCAGGGCTAACACAGAGAGACAGACAAACCATTCACACTTATATTCAAACCTATGTGCAATTTAACTTCACCAATTAACTTAACCCCACTAACTGGATGTATTTGGACTGTGAGAGGAAGCCAGAGTACCTGGAGAGGCAACAGTGCTAACCATCATGTCACTGCACTGTCATAATTAATTTTATTATGCAATAACAATAAAGAGCTAAATTTGTGTTTTCACTTGAACCCATCAGGTTGTAAATTAATCTGCATTTGTTCAAAGCAGATGTCTCAGAAAAAAATAAAATAAAGGGGTTTATGTCCACTGAAATGCTTGGGCTTTTAACTCTTTTAAGGTCTGCTTGAATTTGTATTGTAGCATCCCAAACGGGCGTGTTGGAGAAATTCCACATTTGCAAAAGCAGCAAATTTATAGACTTCATCTACAATATTATGCAATTCCTGTCATAATTAGGTGTTCTGTGTTTGTTTCCTTACGATTATGGCTCAGTTGCTCATGCTGGAAATGATTTACCTAATGACTTCAGATTTGAACAGCTGTGACACCACAAGTGCAGTTGTTTGCCAGGTTGATGATGAACAAATAGCATAGATGTTTGTTTTTGGTACGATCCTCATTGTTAAAACAACGAATTTAAAAAGTCCTGTGAAAGGACCGCATCGAGCCCTTTGAGAACATGACTGTAGCAGAAATGAAAAATAATCGCCCATCAGTATATTTGTGTAAAACTCTGCCAGATCCCTTGTGACAAGGAAGCATCCGAATGTAGCACACACACTAGCATATCGATATTTTGGCTATGTAATGACAATAGCCTTTTAACTGACATATCATGTAATTAAAATTAGCAGTCATTCACTTATTATAAAAATCCTTATAAGTAATCCCATCTTGCATCAGGATCAGTGGTGTGTCCTAATATATGGACTATGTACAGGATCAACTGAACAATAAGGGGAAAAGGACTGTTTTGTATATACATTGTCTGCACGTAACCTATATGTGCCAAATTTGATTAGACTATTGAAGCAGATTACTGTACTTCTAGCTAAAACTCCTAATAGTTTCAATTTGTGGGTTTGATGAACCATACTTAGCCTCTGAGGTTATAGTGATACAGAAAACTAGGTCTGAAATTGAGGTATGCATATTTAACAGAGGTGCATTTATTTTTGTGGTGCAATGGAACAGTACTTGTGAAAAAGTATTCTGTGTTTTGTGATTGCATACTTTGCTCAGATGGGGATCAGAAGTTGAGCTGGGACTGCATTCCGAATCCAGATACCATTCGAACTTGGCTGCGTTGGAGTCATCTTGACTAGCTCACCATAGATATGAATAGACATCTTAGCTTAAGGTGTCTTCCAAGATCCATCAATGCTACTCCCCTTGGTTGCGGTCCAATTTACATAAGCAAGTGTCGTCTTTCCAGTGACCATCAGAAACCAGGCCCTGTGAATTTGGGTCATGCTTTTTTAGATAGCAGTGCTGCTGATCTGTGAGGTGGATTCAGAGTTCCAGTTAATGTAATCCACTGTACTTTCCAGTTCTGATTGAACACGTGGAGAAAATGGACAGCAAAACACTTTGAAGCCTTAGTTGAGAAGTGATGTTGTATCAGCACTGGAGCCAAGATATCTGTAGACCTAAATGCAAAGTCATTGTCAGGCTTAGCAAGCTAATCCTATTACATAATCCCTATATACATTCCAACTAGTGTGCTACCAAAACAAACAACAGGGGAAAGATTTAAGTCCTTTAATGCGGTCAAATTCCTGTGATGGATTACACGGCAGTGTCAGTCGAACACAGCAGACGTAATGTATTCTTGGTTTGCATCCTGCCACTTGACTTGCAGTGCAGCTGTCAAGTTGGTCTTAGTGACTAGTTAAGCCTCACAGTGCACTTCATGTGTGTAAATCTCTCAGTTGGAAATAACAACGTGTATGACTGTGTGTGATTACACTTTTCAAGAAGTATAAAATTCTTTACTTTGTATCGTAACACACTTAGAAGATTGGACTGAGATTTAGAGCCTAGATACCGCACAGAGAAGCTGTTAGTGATAGGCTTCATTGGATTTGGCTTACAGTTGATTTGTTTTTCACTTTAAGCATTCATTAATGAAAAGACATCTGGCTCATCACTGGGTTGTGTCAACCTGGGGAAAACACTGCAAACACTATGAGGGTTTGAATTCCGATGAGGGATGCATTTTTTTTTTATCACCCTAAGATTTGAGTCGGTTCTTTGTTGTGTCTCTGTAATAATATGTATATTTGGGATCCCTTTTCAGAAAATTGCATGACTAAATTTGGGCTCATTCAAAGGTGGTGTGAATGAGTCACCCTACACATGACATTTCCATGCTGCAAATCAGCATTCTTGACATATGTTTTCCCCCTCTTTCCTCTCTCTACATATTACAGTTCATCACCCAGAGAAGGAGAGATCAGCAGCTCTGTGGTACCTGCCCAATCCAAGACCAGCGGGCAGACTCATAAGATCTGTTTGGTGTGCTCAGATGAGGCCTCTGGATGCCATTACGGGGTTGTAACATGTGGCAGCTGCAAGGTTTTCTTCAAGAGAGCCGTTGAAGGTTGGTCTCCCGCAATCTGCACCCACTGCCTCAATCACTCAGACACGACACACTCCTCATTAATGCTGGAAATTCAGTTTTACTTTGAATAATGGTACTAAGGATGTTTAAATTGCATATGCTTATATACATATGCACTAAATTGTTAGTATTTATTACAAGTTTTCTCCTGTTACACTACAGCTCTTGATGCTTCTGCACATCTCTGCTCTGTCCTGAAGAAGAAAATTTAATGATTTCTCCAAGTTCAGGGTCACAGTTGAATAGTAGAGTGCATGGTGAGATCTTATGTCTTCAATTGTTTGTGGGTTTAGTACATTAGTTGTATTTCTCCACCTCTTTTATTCCCCTTCCTGTTTGTTATGCCTCAAAGCAGGGACTGCTTACAACTGGTTTTGATTACCAACAAAACAAAAGCGTGCAGAGGAAAGGCCGTAATCCAGAAATATTATCTTTCCATTTTCTTTTCCAGCTTTCCAATAAAGTGGCCACGCTCTCTAGCCAATTTATTAGGTACACCTTACCATACTGGTTTAGACCCCCTTTTGCCCTAATTGTTCATGGCATCGATTCAGAAAGGTGCTGGAAACAATCCTCAGAGATTTCAGTACATGACCTGTTAGCATCACACAGTCGCTGCAGATTTGTTGGCTGACACGACTCTCCGGTTCCACCACAGGCCGATGTGCTTGGGATTATTCAAGCTTTGTGAGGCTGAGGCGTTTAAGCAATGCTCAGTTGGTGTGAAGGGACCAAAAATGTGCCAAGAAAGTATCCCCCACACTGTTGCAACACCACCACCAGCCTGACCGCTTTTATACAAGGCAGAAGGGATCCATGCTTTCATGTTGTTTACACTAAATTCTGACCCTGTTGTTTTCAAATGTTTCCAGTTGTCCAATTTTGTTGAGTCCATGTGAATGTGTAGCTTTAGTTTCCCATTCTTAGCTGGCAGGAGTGGGACCTTGTGGGTTCTTCTGCTGCTGTAGTTCATCTGCATCAGAGTTTGACACGCTGTGCGTTCGGAGATACTCTTCACCATATCTTGATTGGAACAGGTTATTGTTGGTTTCCTAGCAGCTCAAAGCAGGGTGGCCATTTCTCTGACCTCTGGCAAAAATACCCAGAGAATGCCAGGGCATTCTAGAGACTTGCCACTCATTAGATATTTTCTCTTTATTGGACCATTTTCTGTAGCCCCCAGAGATGGTTCTGTGGGAAAATCTCAGCTCAGAATACTCAGACCAGCCAGCTGCTGCCATGCAACTGGCTGTGTACATATCTGTGTTAACAAGCAGTTGAGCAGGTGTACCTAATGAAATGTCCAGTGAGCGTATCTTCTAATGGGGTACTTGGTTCTTGTCACAGGCAAAGTATTTGATTTGATTTGATTATATTTTTGTTGAATCACAGTGGTTACATAGACCTATTTAATATGTGCACAAACAAGTAAGAAACGGTTAGCTACATATGTACTTCAATGTGCATATTTATCTCTAAATGCTTTGTGTGTCAGAATGCTTTGGAGGGAAGGGCAAGAAGGCATTTGACAAACCGTATTTTGCATTAAATGCTTTTACTGTCATGCATTCCTCCCTGAGCTTCTCTTCTTCTCTCTTTCCATCCCCTTTCTTTCTACAAGCTGCCTCTGCAGATGTGTTACAGGTTGCTTAGACAGGGTTTTCTGAGGTGTATTTTAAGTCATTATTAGCGACTAACCCTAACCCTAAGACATCAACTTCAATTTATCATTGGCCAAACTTACTGAAGATGCACAGAAATGACTCATTTAATTTCAGGTATCAGTTAACATAGCCCTGTCCTTTTCTTTCATTTCTATGCGTTGCTGGTGAAAGAATACCTTGCGATAAGACTTGCTTTAGGGAAATCATTACTCTGAATATTTGGGGACACGGTGTAGATGGATTATTTGACTTCTGCAGCAGTTAAGGATTAACTGGGCCAGTTTTTAATGGAATTTATTATAGAAACATTTCGCAGTCTCCAACATAGAAAAGGAAAAAAGTATCAGACAAACTGATACAGATAGACTAAAACTGTAAACAAGAACCCTTGGTATGCCCTGAATTATATCCTGATATCTACGATATTTACTTCTATGGTATACTAAGATTATGATTAACGGTTATCCAGCATGTCGGTATTTGTTATGCAGTGCTGGTGTAACTGCCAAGCATTCCATATGAAGTGCAATTTCACTGCCTACAGTAATAATGAGAAAGTCATACCTGTCATTTTTGTTTTTCTCTCCCCCTCTTCCTTCTCTGGTCTTTGTCTCTATGGGGAAGGATGGAGAGCACGACAAAACACAGATGGTAAATAAATACACTTTTAATAATAATAATAATAGTAATAATGATAGTAATAATAATGATTATTATTTTGATGATGATGATGATGATGACGATGATGGAAATTTTAGCATTCATGATTTGCCCATGTCCCCTGTACTTTTTCAGCACTGATCAATCTGCCTAGAAACATGCATAGCCTGTTCTGCCAACTGTCTGTTAATGCATGCAAATGTACTGATTTGGTCATTTAAATCAGCATAAATTGCCTGTGAATGATTTTTGCACTCTTCATTTTCTGTCTGGAATGCCCCTCATCTTATCTTCCTCTACGATGATAGATCTAAACGCAATCACATTTCAGCACTTAACCCGCATTACTTCCTGAGATCTGACATGAGAAATGAAACCTTTGCCACCCCTGTAGTTACATTTTTCCTTCTGTTAATTATGAAGCGAATTATGAAATACTAAACATTTGGCGGTTTACCTTTACAGAATCAAAAAGTGGATTCCCTTCCACTGGTCACGTTTAAGCTCAGGACCTCCTGACTCTGACTTCAGTGCCAACCACTAACCCTGTATGCCAGTATTGGTTACAAACTCAGCTACGGGCTTCACCATCCACTGCTGATGGGTCGTGCCAGACCCTTGTTAGCAGATTAGGGCAGGATAAGGGAGGGAGAATACCAGTGGGATTCAGTTGGCACTTTTGACACTACAGATGGCTGTTTACGCCGTTGTTTGCAATGACTCTCTGTGATAGCAGCGACGGCTGCAACATGCAGCTCCAATCTTGTCATCACACCACCAATTTTTATTGTGGAATATTATGATTATTACTGGGTTTCGTAGCGCGTTTATCATGATTTCTATGTGGACATCTGGATTAGTTTCACCACCTGTAATATGCAATATAGCAGCGCTGATCCCTGCTTTTTGTGCTAATTTTCTCTGTGTATGTGCTGGCAGGCAGGGAAAAATGACTCTGTTTAAGCTTCGGTTCTTTTTCAGCTTCTGCCTGGATCACTGTAGCTTCTGTATGCATCCCCGTTTGTACAACCATATCTGTGAACATATTTTACTGTTTACAGATCATTTTCAGCCATGTTCATTCCTTGTTAATGCAAACCAAACCCTTCCTGCTGCTCATTCTTCACAGTATGAGCTGCCCACTCGTGGACCAGCAGGATGCTACTGTTGTAAAGAAGTTACTTGTAAATAGAGAGGGAAAATCATAGTTAGCAGAGCTTCATTAAGCCTAGTTAAGGCTCTGGATTTCAGTCAGGTTGAGATAATTTGGCATTACCTTAAAACAGGTCATTCATGCTTGAAAACCCTCCAGTGTGGCTGAATTAAAACAATTCCACAAAGAAGAGTGGGCCAAAATTCCTCCACAGTAATGTAAAAGGCTCAATGACAGTTAAACACTTGATTGGAGCTCTTGATGCCAACGGTGGCACAACCAGTTATTAGGTTTAGGGGGCAATTAGTTATTCACAAAGGGACAGGGAGGCTTAGATCATCATTTAAAAGCACCATTTTATACTTACTTACTTTATACTTACTTTGCTTGTCTTTATCTAATATTCAAATTTGTTTTATGACCTGAAACATGTGTCAAATATGCAAGAAAACAGCACTGGATAAGCTTTGCTGTATACAAAGGCACGTACTATTTGTCATGTTGTCAATTGAATAATGTGATTCTTTGTGCTTCTTTTCATATTTATATAGTGTTCCTTTCCTTTTTAAGTGCCCACGAAATTTAAGTTGTCACACACTGTGCAATATTGCTCTTCAATTTTATTACATGTCTCCAGCAGTATAATTAAATGCCCTTTAGGTCAAAAAGCATCAAAAGCATTACATTTCAAAGATCAGGGTAGATTAGGAGATCAGTGTTCATCCTCCACCCTAGGGGGAATACTGACGCTGGTGACTCTGTATACAGTCAGTGAGTTTTTCTGCAGTCATGCAGGTTTTCAGCGGGTCTATAAAAAAATGAATGAATGGTATCTGGAGAGTTTGTTGTATCATCTATTATAATGAGTTTCAGTAACAGGAAAAGACTATTTATTGAATCCTCTGCTTTTGCCACTCGTCATAATGTGTAGAACAGCCATTACACCATGATGAGTAATGCTATTATAACACGAGTGACTAATAAGTAGGCTTTTCACCGTTCCCCACCATAGTAAGCTACAATGTAGAAATTCAATCGCACAGAACGGACATATTCGTTTGATAAGATAAGATGAACTTATCAAACAATTTTTCACAAGAACACCACAAATGATAGAGGAGGGATGTTTTTGTGTTGCAGAGCTGGAGCAGACTATAGTCTGACGCTTGGTGCTTTGCAGCACAAATCCAGTGAGTAAACACAAAGTCGAAAAAGTAGCCTGCATTCCTGATATTTTTTTTAACTCTTCTAATTTGTGATTTCTGCATTTTATAGTGTGTCCTATGTATAAGCAGTCTTATTGAGGACAAAGATACACAATTCCATCTGTGAGAAAAGCAGACTTGTAAAGCCAGTAGAAATGAAATATAGAAATGTGCTGACTTTCAATTGACAGTGGCTGGTAACTGAAGGAAGTGGTGAAAAAAATGTGAATCCTTTGCTCTGGCAGATGTCAATTAGTTGCAACTTTTCTAAATCACTGCCCATGGTCTGTTTTTCAGAGTAAACACCACCAACACTTCATATGAAATTCTTGGTTGGGTTAGTTACTCATATAGGGAAAATCAAAGACACTTCTAGTTAATCATCCCATTTTGATTTCAAAGAAGTGTCACAGTGAAACTTTAAACTATGACTAATTCAACAGCATAGGTTATCTACTGAATAGTCATCACAAAAATAAAAAGCACATCTGTTGCTAGAAGGAAAGTGGTTAATCTGATGTTTCCAGGTCGTATAAGTGTTATATGCACTGGAACAAAAACGCTCAAGACTACATAACTGAGACATAAAATAGATTTTCAAGCATAGCCCATAAAATATTGAGCAACAGCCCAATGATTTAGTGAGGCCTTTCACAGCTAAAAAATACAGACCTGACAATTATATTGACAAAATGCTGCAGATTGTGATCTTAAAAGTGTTCAAGAGGCAATGTTAATGTACGAAATGCCAAATTCATCCTCAGGCATGTTTGTCCTTCCGCTGTACACTTGCAATGAGGATCATTTTGGGGCAAATTTTAATAAGCAAAAAGAACGCGCAAGAAACAAAGTAACTTAGTGCTTTGACATGTCATCATCTCTGAGACTCATGCGTATCCGGATCGAAATATTATCTTTTATTTGAAAAAATACAAGATATTGCAATTAAAGTATTTTAACCAAAGATAACAAAGCTAAGAGAATTGCTGACAACCAGGCCAAAATGTGCTTTATAGAAAAGTGCAGAGAATAAGGTTCGGTTGGATATCTCAGAGAATCAAAGTTGCTCTGTCGTAAGACATACTGCCACAATATGAAAGCATTTAATATGTCTTCAGTGAATTTACAAACATTAAACAAGTAAGAAGTTTCAGTGCAACCAAGGACTAGTTGTGCACATCTGTAAAATATAGAATTATATATGCATTCATAATTCTCACAAATCAACTCTTCCTTCTTGTGTAACAAAGGATTATTAAGAAATCAAAAGTATCCATGCTCTATAATCAAATGTGGACCTGTTTTATAATCTGGTGCATGCTCCATAATAGGAATGTCGATAATATGGACTGTGCGTTACTCTCAAAGACCAATGCCGTGGATTTTGTCGTCTAGTCTAAGTGCATAGTTGTGGAAGTGAAGCTGTTAACACCAAAGGGATCCCACAAGCCTGTTAGGCTTACTGTAGAATCAACAGGTGATTAGTGTGGTCATAGATATTGCTCGTGCTAATCCTTCTCAAACATTCTTTGCTAGCTAATGTCTTCTTTTCCCCCTCCTTCTTCTCCTTCTTCTATTTACAGGCCAGCACAACTACCTGTGTGCAGGGAGAAATGACTGCATCATTGATAAGATCCGCAGGAAGAACTGTCCAGCCTGCCGCTTCAGAAAATGTCTTCAAGCTGGAATGAACTTGGAAGGTAAATGATCAGACACATCTTTAAATGAGTCCAGCCAACGTTCAATGCTTTAATGAAAAACTGGGCATCTTTATCTTGTCTTATGTGCAACATTGTGAAGTAAAGTAAAGTACCTGTGCTGGTTATATTTTCAGCAGGGCTTTGATTGGATCATTCACACAAAGGTGGATGTTGCAGTTCTGCTCTTAAAGTGTGAATTACTCTGTTCTTGGACTCTCATCTGTATGTGCAAGGGCTTGTTGCTGATTGGTGCTTCCACTTGGCTTATGTTCAGCCTATAATATTGACTGCTCTTCTTTCATCTTGGCTTCCACCATGACTAGACCAGCGCCACAGCCAAACTGCAGCAGTAATCCCTGCAGCTGCTTCAAAGTGCAGCCAATTTGTCATTCAGGGGCAGCTGTGATTCAGTGTGAGCAGCTTTAGTTTAGGGCAGTGGTTCTTAAAGTTTTTCGGGAAGCCCCAGCTTCAGAAGCTGAAAAAAGTTCATGTCGCACACAATTTGTAATCAATCATTAATAAAAACTTATCCAAATTGGTTCATTTAATTAAATTAATTGTACCAGTAACCTAATTTTCCCTTCAAGTATTAATTTCACTTAGTGTCACACTTTCTCCTTGGATGTCCATGTTCTACTTGCAGTGGTTTGTTTAAAGAAACGCTGGTCTAGGCAGTATAATTCTCGCAAGAGGTCTCTGGTCAAAATCCTAGATGATCCAGTGAATATGAGCCAAGTGGAAACACCAATCAGGATAAGGAGCTTGCACATATAACTCTGATTGAAAAACAAACAATCACATTACTTAGTAAAAGGAAGCCAGTGATACAGAGCTGTAACAACAGATAAGAAAGGCGCATTCTAGCAGTGTGGTCTCAGTGAAAGAGTGGTTGCCATGAAATCATTCATAAGGAATGGAAATCATATAAAAAAACTGAGGTAAACTGAGGCCAAATTACACAAGAACTGGACAGAAAATCTTTGACAATAAGTCTTATCGACTGAATAATACTAATTTGAATTAAATTCTGGTTTAAATTATCATCAGTACGCATGGAGGAGGTCAGACGAGAGGTCCAACAGTGAGCATATACAGCCATCTGTAAAATGTAGTGGAGGATCTGTCATGGTTTGGGGCTGCATTTCAGCCAGTGTTGTCAAAATTGATGAAATTGTAAACACAGAAGTAGCGTCAGATTTTGATTAGCCATGCAATACCATTTGGAAAGCATCTCATTAGCAACAGCTAAATTTTTTAGTGCAGCAACGATCCCAAGCACACTGCCAGTACAATAAAAGCGTATAAAAAATGAAAAACACAAACTGAAACACTCATGGATTGGTCTAAAGAGACCAGACCTCAACATTATTGAACCAGTGTGTAATCATCCTGGTAGAAAAGGGGAAAAAGCAGTCAGCATCCAAATAACTTTGAGTACTTTAATTACAAGAAAGCTGTGGTGAAAAGTAAAGGTGGTTAAACCATATATTGTTGCCTTAAATCCAGGTTTTCCAGTTAAGTTTGCACACATTTCAATAAATTGCTGCACTTATTTCCCATTTTTTTTAGCAAGATATAAATAAATTGGAGTGGCTTGAAACTTTTGCACAGTAGTTTATTTCACTTTAAATTTGTTATAAATCCAATGACACAGAAATTTCCCCCCCAAAATAGGTAAACTATCATTCTTTTATTTTAGCTTAAAAATTGAGCTAAATGACAGATTACAGACTATGTAAAGAACATTTAAATTACAGATGAGATTAGTAGTTTAGTATAAAAATAAAGGAAGAACAAAGGAAAAAAACAAACATACATTAAATATGGCCTGATGGCTAATATGGCCTTTATGGTTCTGTATGGTTCACACTGATCACTGCTTAATTCACTACTAAGTCCAAGCCTCCAAAACTTCTATTACCTGATGATCTTTCACTTTTTTCTACTTGATCTAATTGATGTTTAGGACATAGTGCAAAGTTAGGTTGTGACAGGGTTAAGGAAGATGGACATGGGAAGCAACAGGTTGTAAACAAAACAACAGCTTTATAACCAAGAACCTGCTTGTTGTGCTGTTTCCGCTTGATGCTCCCTAAGGGGAATGAAATTGCTGTTACTAGTTTGTATGAATCAGCGTTGAGTGAGATTACATGTTAAAAGTGCAGTTTTGGTCACAGGGTGAAGGTAGGTTCACACACAGAGAGTGAGAGGAACAAAGACAGAGAGAGGGATTTGATGGAAGTCAGCGCATCAGCAGACAGACTCCCAGCAGAAAGGCTCTTAGTTGCCATAGAAACACCAAGAGAGGAAATTAAAAAAGGTAGAGTAGGAAAAACACGTTTTTTCATGGTATCCTCTCAAAGTCTGACGTTTTGTACATTTAGTAGCAGAAAATGTTCAAATGAGGCTTAGATAATGTACAGTTGTGGGCAAAAAACACAGGAATTTGCCATTTCTGTTGTTTTACTGATGTCACACTGATGGAGAGAAGCTGCAAAACAAAAAAAGCGACAAGAAAAATCCACTGTTAAGTCATATATCCTCATAAATGGAATTCTTTTTGTGATTTTGTAACTATTTGCTGGGCAGAGACCAGCATGTGGCACTCTCCTGATCTTTTTAACTGGTTTGTTAAAACTCAAAGTGAAATTTCTTCATCCATGTTGTAAGGTGGGGCGAAGCAAGCGTGTAACTTAAATAACTTATTAGCGTTAACTGGGAATATATAAGTGTTTATACAGTACATGGATGCATTACGATGTTGATTTTCTAGGTTAATTACACTGTGCAGTAAAACAGTGAAAGCTAATTTTGAGTTGATTATTCACTTTGTGACATAATAGCCTGTCTTTATGTCACAAAGTAACTTTTTTGTATTCTGTGTGTTTCTAGAGCCAGATAATTTGGTCAGATCCGTTGATTTCAATTGTTTTTATAGTTCTAGTTTCACTGACTGTATATGCTTTTTCCATTGCCCAGCCCATGGAGAAGCAACCCTTCCGTCCAGGGTTTGCTCCTTGTGCATGTCTGGATCTCTTCCAGAGATGCTGTTGTTCCTAGAAGTATGTCTGCAATACCCATTGGGTCTCCAATTCGTCAAAATCACGAGCCTTTATCTTGCATTATTTTTTAGTTGTGAGGACGAGCTTCCGGAGAGTCCAGTCTGACATCTGCAGAAGAACTGCAGGTGTGGCAAAAATTGTGTTTATGTGGCAAAAATACTACCTATTACATATTGAGCTGAGCACACAAAGGGCATGTACCACAGCAGAGACCATTTGAGCTCAATATTTTTGGCTCTTGAACTGATGTTCAGTTTGGACACTGCACACTCTTCCAAGAAAAAAACCCATTTGTTCTTGGAGTCATAATTGATCTTTGAGCTGCACAGTGAAGGATTTTCAGAAAGCGATCTAAAAACAATAGCAGTGCCTAGAAAGGAGATGAAACTTGAAAGGTCAAAATTAGCCAGTCAGCCTGAAATGAGGTAAAATGAGGTAGAGATTATGCTTTTTATGCATAGAATTGCTGACTTTTTTGATTGCACCTTGCACAAAACATTTGTATAAAACACAATGCTTGTGAACAATTTATTTTATTGAAGCAGCTTCTGATTTTTTTTCTGTACCTCTCTTTTATTGCTATGTCTCACCTCACAGCAAGGAAAAACAAAAAGCTGATCAAGATGAAAGTGCACCGGGCTGGGGCATCAGAGCCCACCATTAGCAACATGCCTGTTCCAGTCGTACCCAGGAGCATGCCCCAACTCGTGCCGACCATGCTGTCCATACTGAAGGCCATAGAACCAGAGATCATCTACTCGGGCTATGACAGCACACTGCCAGATACTTCATCACGGCTCATGTCTACTCTCAACAGGCTAGGGGGACAGCAGGTTGTCTCTGCAGTCAAGTGGGCCAAGTCACTACCAGGTAACAGAAAAGCTCTTTACCATGGATTCCCTTTGGTTTAGTTTATATGCACAGACTTGCTCAAACAGACTCCATCACTGGTGGTAAATCCATCTAGAAAATTTAACTAATGGGTCTCAAGTCGATGATGAAAAACAACTACATCCACTTTCATTTGTCTATTTCTTTTAACACGTGATGCCAGTTAAGGAAGTTGCCTCAGTCGTACGTCCCCACTTAGGCCTTAGTCATATAGGCCTATAGACTGACCAACAACAATGTGGCTACCTCCAGTTGTTATTTTAAAAAATGGGGGACGAGTTTCCAGCACTGGTTAGCATGAAATTGGTCACAAAGAAGCATATGCCACTATACCGAAAACATTGTCGCAAGTAGATTGCTAATAGCACAAAAGGCAGTACTTTTACTTTGAAGGCATATGTTCTCTTATTATGGTTTGTATTGGACTTCTCAGTTTCGCTACTACCTGGTGAGTAGTTTGCGAGTGTTTCAGCAGTACATACTTCTGTAGTGCTCTTCTGGTTAAGACCACAGCCTTTATTTGTCTGAGTGTTGTCATAAAAAGCAGATAACGAGCGAAAGTGCAGTTGTGGCTCAGTTCAGTAGCCAGCTGGGTGTCATCCTAATGATAGGGTGACCAATAAGGAAGTGTTTAATGCATCTCACTTCAGACTGCACAAAAGGTAAATTTTAGATTTTTTTTTTTTGATTCCTGTTTCCTCGTTCCTTTTTTTTTAAACAGTTGTTGTTTAGTTACCAATGTCATGTCACCTTTTTAATGGCTGAATCCATAATTACAGATGGAGGAGTAATTGTATCTAATGGCCAGAGTTTTTAGAAGCCTAGCACTTCCAAGGTATAAGGTCATGACCGATGTTAATAACTCATTAACTCTTACATTTTGGGGATCACTGCATTGTTTTTGAAGCTTGTCACGAGAACTCAAGAGCAGCACATGTAGTTCGTGCATTGCAGTGGTACTGAACACACGTGTGCACCCCTTGATACCGAAGGGAAATATGCCACTGCTAAAAATGCAGCTTATACACAATAATTTGTATATTAACAAGGGGAATGTGCTTGTAACTATAGATTTGACAGAAAACTACAAGTCCATGATATAATCTCAGATCCACACATATAGAATGTATCTTTGTACTATTTATTTGTGGATGTTGAAATGCATGGAAAATGAGAATTGGAAAAAACTTTCTTTGCCATGTTTGGGGACTCTTTTGCTCTAAGTGGAGCAAGACACTACACCAAAACATAGGATTCAGCACATAAATGGATATACTTAAATTTTATTGTTGTCAATATAACTTAAATTCATGGTTTAAATGTCAAGAAAATACGATAATTGCTGGATTTTATTCCTACGCCGTTTCCATTTCACCAAAACAAAAATGGAAACAAAATGAATTTGAAACTCCATCCGCTCGTGCTAGTTTCTACTCATGAGAAAAGAAAACACATGACCTGCTAATCAGTCCAAGAAGTTGCCTGTATTTCTGCTCCTGAGAAATCTGCCAGAAAACTATAACATTGGCTTATGTTTTTGTAATTTCTCTTTATATGACAAGGGGGAAAATGAAGAGAAAATCTGGTTTTAAATCTTATGTATGTGATGTCCAGAACTGGCAAGTCGATCGAGAGGAGAAGCACTAAAAGGAGGAGGAGGGGTCTCACATAGCTGAGCCATATTTCAAGGAAACAGAAAATGAAAGGACTTAATGTGCAGTTCAACTTTTATTGTTTTGAGAGCAGAAACAACTGAACAGCAACTCAATTTAAATATCCAATTAACTGTATGGTCCATTTCTAGTATTTCTTAGCTCTTGTGTGGTAGTTTTAATAAAAGAGTTGAGCAATTACTTCCGCTTGTCTTTAATGTCTGTATTCTCTGAAATGAAAACATGAAAATATTCTGCACTGCTGTTTTAAAAGTATGCACAACTAATGACTTTCACCTGAAACATATGCAATCATATCTGCATATCTGCATATCTGCTATCTGCTGTTTTGAAGACCGTCAGTCCTAGAGAGAGAAAAAAATCACAGACAGTATTTGGTGTCTCTTTTTGATGTTGCATCTTTGAAATTGTTATTGTGGTTGTTTTATGAACTTCTGTTTATCTGGTTTTAGTTGTTCTAACAGTCTTTTTACGTCCATAGGCTTCCGCAATCTGCACCTTGATGACCAGATGACTCTGCTGCAGTGCTCCTGGCTCTTTCTCATGTCTTTCAGTCTTGGCTGGAGGTCATACGAGCAGTGTAATGGCAGCATGCTTTGTTTCGCCCCTGATCTTGTCATCAACAAGTGGGTAACAATCACAGCTGTTCTAATATTTGAGCAGTTTTGTTTTTCCATTTGCTCATTTCACGGTGTTAGTCTCACTTCATCATTTGACTTACAAAAGTTAACCATTTATCTGTGACTCAGCTTTGTGACTCAGTATAGAAATGAGGTGACAAGGCTGAGGGATAAAGTCACATGTAAATAAGAATTTGCTGGCCAACAATGAGAATATGGTTATAGTTTTTGCTGAAATCTAAACTCCAGTTCTGTGTTTTATTATGAGGGACGTGGGAAAGGGTGTTCGCTAGTTTTTGCTGATCGTCAAGCTGTGTAGGCTGCTTAACACTTCATCCAGTTTCTACGTTAATCTTCTTAAGAAGCAGACATGAGCCCAGGACTGACCTTCTCACCTAATTTTCAGAAGCAACAAAAAGGCCCCATGAATAAATAAACTAGGCCAGCACATCAGCTATTATTGCCATGGTTCGCAGGTTCCTGGTCCAAATGCACTTTTTCTGAGGCAAACTTCATAAACACAAAAAACCCTTGATTAAGGCAATGCCGAAAAAGGGGGGAAAAATAAAAATAATAGTAAATATTTAAAACCATTAATCCTGCAGATAGCACGCCCAGGAACACAGTATGACTCAACAAGGAACAAATACAAACTGAGGTTTTTAATATACACAGGAGTTAATCAGGAAGAGTGGAAACGCCAGGGTAACAAGACACGGCTGAAACTAATTAAGACATAAACGGATAAACGGAGACATAAAAGGAGATAAAACTAATATCAAAGCACATGGGGACTAATAAAATAAAACAGGAAGTAACTAAATAGGAAATCATATACAAGAGACAATGACTAGGGAGGCTAGAAAAAAATAAAGTATAAGGAATCAAATATCTGTAATAGTCTGTAAACACTTCAAGAGTTGCACTACTCAGGTAATTCAAAAAAATACAGGAACAACTGCATTATGAACTATACTGTAAATATTTTTCTATGCCACAGAGGCAGGGCTCAGGTTAGATTGCAGTATGTTGATTACATAGCCTCATTTTTTTTTTTTTTTTTGCAATTTGCCATTTATTTGTAACAGCAAGTGACTACCCCTCCCTGAGTCTGGTCTCTTCCTGTTAATAGGGAGCTCTTCCCTCCCACTATTGCTTGCTAGGGGATCATATGATTGTTGGGGTTTTCTTTCTTACAGTAGAAAGCAAATTCAGGTAAATAGAACTGAACTATTAAGCTATTTAAATACCTCCTGGGATTTCTGAAAGACCCATCCAGTTGTTCTACATTTGTAAACAGTGCTAAAACATCGACATCTTGCGAACAGCTCAACCTTTTTATTGAAAATGGTTAGAAAGAAAGCCCTGATCTGTGAAGAGTCGCGTCCGAAAACTCCAGAGAGGAGTAAAAAATAGATATGAAATGTGAAGGAGTCATTGCCGATGGCACTGCAGTTGGTCAGAAAGAGTAGACAGTGCTCAGCCCAAGGGTATGTATCAGGAGAATGTGCTGTATTGATTTTCTAAGAAAAAAAGTAATGTGGGCCGTGTGTTAGTGGAAATGAGGTGTGAAAATCCATCATGACTGATTTTAGAGTCTGTATTTCTCCTGCAAGGATGTAGCAGATCCCTGCCAGGGCTATTTATTGGGAATTGAATAACAGCATGAGTGAAACAGCTCCAACTCTAACCTGTGTGTCTCTTTTAATTCTGTTTTCTTCTGTTTCTTGTCGTCACCTGCTCTACATTTCCTCTCCTCTCACAGAGATCGCATGAAGCTGCCCTTCATGACTGACCAGTGCGAGCAGATGCTGAAGATCTGTAATGAGTTTGTCAGACTGCAGGTGTCCTATGAAGAGTACCTGTGCATGAAGGTGCTGTTACTGCTCAGTACAGGTAATGGAACACAACTCACTTAGAAAAATGACAGCAGTGTTTTTCAAAAGTCTCTCTGCTGGACTGGAAAAATCACTTTTTATTGTATCTACTGTGTTATACAGCTGCAGCTTTTTTCCATTTCCTTGCAGTTTGTCACAGTAGGGCTGTTCTGGTCATGTTCCTCTTGATAAATGCGCAGAGGATTTTGATTTCTGCTACTAAAGGCCACAAATTTCATTACTTATCATTAATGCATCGTCTTTGTGGCAAAGATTCAACAGGGTGCTGGAAACATTCATCAGAGGCTTTGGTCCATATTGGCATGATAGCATCACACAGTTGCTTTAGATTTGTCAGCTGCACATCCATGAGGCAAACCTCCTGTTCCACCGCATCCCAAAGGTGCTCTTTTGGCTTGACATTGATGACTGTTAAGGCTATTTGAGTACAGTGAACTCGCTGTCAAATTCAAGAAACCCATTTGAGATAATCTGATATTTGTGACATGGCATGTTGTCCTGCTGGAAGTAGCTTTCAGGATTGATCATAATATGGTCATTAAGGGATTGGCATGGTCAGCAACAATACTCAGGTATGCTGTGGTGTTTAAATAATGATCAGTTGGTACTAAGTTGCCAATTGGGCCAAGAAAATATCCTCTAACTTCTACCACTGATACAGCATAGGGTGTATCCATGCTGACTTGTTGTTTACACTAAATTTTGAAATGTCACATCAGAAATCGAGGCTCATCAGACCAGGCAGTACTTTTCCAATCTTCTATTGCCCATGCAAATTGCAGCCTCAGTTTCCCTTTCTTAGCCAACAGGAGTGGCACTTTGTGTAGTCTTCTACTGCTGTAGCTCATCTGCTTCCAAGGTTTGATGTGTTGTCCATTCAGAGATGCTCATCTGCACACTTTGCCTGTAATCAGGGCTAATTGAGTTACTTTTGTCTTCCTATCGGCACAATCTGGCCATTCTCCTCTGACCTGTGGCATCAGCGAGGAAATTTCGCCAAGGGAACTGTCACTCACTAAATATTTTCTCCTTTTTCGATCACTCTCTGTAAACCCTATAACAGAAACATCCTAGCAGATCACGGGTTTGAAATATTTAGATCAGCCGGTGTGCACTTGGATCACCTTTTTTCTCCCCAATTCTGATGCTCAGTTTGAACCTTCAGCAGGTTATCTACATATGTAAATACATTGGGTTGCTGCTATATGATTGGCTGGTTAGATATTTACATTACAAGCAGATCAACTTGTATACCTAATGAAGTGGCCGGTGGTTATATGTTTTAATACTGCAGTTTAAAGATCCTGTTTAAAATCACTGCTGACAGCAGCAAATGGTAAGCATGCCGCAAGTGTCTACACTGTCAGAAGCATAACGGCAGAACAGTAACATTCCTGTCTGCAATAATTTAAACCCAGTCTGCTGACAAAAGCACAGTAGATGTTTTGTTCTGTAGATGCATTATTATGTGTGTCTGTCAGTGCTCGCTGGACCTTTATTTCACTTTACGTTCACAGGGTGCTATGTACCTTAAACCATTTCAAGCACTTGTCTTGCATTTCCTTTAACTTCATTGTTTGGTTTAAAGTGTATCTTAAGTGTTTACTTTCAGGGGTCTCCTTCAGTTCTGAAATTCAGCGATCGAACACGGAGCCATTTCTTTGTAGAAGAAATTCTACTTTGTAGACATAAATTCAAAATGCCACAGAAAAGACCGGGTGTTACTGTTGCTATCAAAATATGCAAGTTTGATGTTCTTTTGACATTCTTCACCAATCTGCGATGTAACAGTGTGATATTTTCTTTTAGATGCCTTCTGTTAAATGTTACTGCTCTGTGAAAGTGCAGTCCTTTCACAGATCTTACCTTGGTAGAGAGTCATTTAATTTCCGTACCAGAGGGTCCACTGAGAGTTGAATTAGTATAACTTTTGTGTTTCTTATCTCACTGAATAAAAACAGTTAGCTTTTTTTATTACTGCTGTTTAATCTTCTTTTATCTACGATTGTCCAGTGAAAGCACATTATTAAAAAAAATATAAAAACTCATTTTCTTTTTTTTTAACAATTTAGTTGAACTAAAATTGGATTCAGAAGACATTTTTACAAATTGTAAATTTATTCCAACTGCATTTTATTTGCTGTGTATAAATTAGTAAAGGCTGTTAAAGGACAGACTCAAATAGGCAGTGTTCATCAGGCCTCTCTTTATTTAATGTTTGAAGAGGTCAAATAATGAGAGCTGTGGGTTACCAATCAGTAACCTAACCCTAAATACTACACAAGGAAACAGTATCACTAAATCAGACCTTTCCCACTTATTTCAAATATTCTTGTCTGTGATGGAGAGCATTATTCTCAGAGAATGGCGAAGAAGAGGATGCACTTCAGAAGCAATTAGCTTGTTATGCAGAGGAAATTACATTTCCATACTGTGCACCGGCTGCATTTTTGTACTTTAGAGCGATTTCCATCCGTTTCCCTCGGGGATGGAAATACTATTAGATGGGACAACTTTGGTTTGAGCTGTTTTTATCCATTCTCGCACACATTATATGGAATTTCAAGCCACTTTTAAGACTATTTGATATACTGTCATATTTAGTTAAATAGAGAAAATAGAGAATGCTCAGCAGCGTGAAAGCACCACAAAACATAAATAACTCAATAAAGAATTTATCGGTCATAGAATAAGAAAACACAAGTTGTTTAATGGGTTTGCAGTGCCATTGTTGCCTAGCACAATCACTGCAAGTCACTGCTAAACTGTGCGGCTCACTGCCTGACACCAGACTGACAAGAGTCCACAATGTGCTGATACAACTGTATTGCTTTTCAAGTTTGCAGTTTTTGCTTTTCAGCAGTGACCGGCACAGTGAAAGTCCTCAGTGTGTCCTCTTTAATATATCATTTAAACGCAGAGAATCATTTTGAAGGGTATTCAAATGTCCTAATTTAAAAAGCTAAAGTGACACCTTGCACAGCAGCTGGTACTACCTTTAACCCCAATTCCAAAACTTTGGAACATTTTAAGCAAACTGCAATTATTTTCAAATCTCATAAATCTGTATTTCATTCATAACAGTACACAGAAAACATACATTTTTTTTTACCAAAAAATAAAATAAGGTCATTTTGAATTTGTTGGCAGCAACAGCTACAACAGCTTAGTACCATGACTGGGAATAAAAAGAGCATGTTAGAGAGGCAGAGTTTCTCAGAAGTAAAGAAAAGTAGATGTTCACCAGTCTGCTAAAAACTTTGTCTACAAATTGTGGAATAATTTTAGGAAAATGTTCCGCAATGTAAAATTGCAAAGACTGTTGGATATCTCAAAGAATCTCATTATCTACAGTCAGTGTTGGGGAGTAACGGAATACATGTACCGCCGTTACGTATTTAAAATACAAAATATGAG